ATTGGCACAGTGCTGTAATGATGATACCATAGTCGCGGGACTCAAATTTCGCATCGGTGAGGCGAGTGGCGCCCAAATCGACGCTCGTTGCGACAAGGCGAGGCGACCTGCACTCATATTTGTCGGTGTTGTAGAGCGAATGAAGGTAGAGAGGAACACAGGACCATGTCACCGAATCGACAATAAAGATATGGAGACGGGAGAGGAGAGAGTGAAGAGAGAGAGAGGTTTTCAAAATGGTTGGGTTAGGTTTATTAATAATATAAATACCACCTGATTTTTGATTAATTAAACTTTGCACCTGATTTTAAATAATAGGGCTTTCCACTCTATACATCCTAGTTCCCAATGTGAACTCGGTATAAAGAAAGTGGAAATTATATCCGGCTAGACATTTCAACTTTACAATTCAAAAATAAGATTTACAATATTTTTATTCAAAATTCAAATTATAGTTAATTATTTAATAATTTTATTCTTTAATATTAATAATAGTATAAAATAAAATAAATCTACAAACCACCCCTACCACATTTCATCCCCAAACTCTAAATCATTTCTATATTTTTTCTCTCTCTTCTTTCTCTATCCTATCCCTTCTCTTCCCTCTCCAACTGCCAAAACCACCACCAAGTAGTTTGATCTTAAATCTGTATTCTTAGAACCGAGTGACCTTCAGGCTCTGAATCTGCAAACTGCTCCCCTAAACGGCCTCTTGCCTCAATGGGAATTCTGCTATTTCAGCTTCTTGCCCTCACTGTATCTTTTCTTAGAATTAAGAATAGAGGTTTTCTTTGTTAGGGATGGCAGGGAGGTTACAAATATATGCCTGTATCACGAGGAATTGAGTCAAATTCAAGATCTTTTTGTCTCATTTTAGTGGAAAGATATGTTTTAAGATTATGAATTAGTTTGTAGGCGTTGAAATTTTTGTTTCTATTGCTTTATGTGAAGGTGCAGGTGATGTGGGCAAGTGATCCAGTGCCGCAATGGCGAGAAGGAGTGGAGCGGAAGGAAGGATTGTCAAAGATTGAGATTTTATTTCTATAATGATTTATACAAGATTTATATTGTATACAAGGGGTTTCCAGGAAAACTGGTTTTGAAAAAAGCTTAAGGAAAGAGAATGGTTTCTAACTCGAGATGATCCATTCTTTCCCCAATACCTCTATTTATACATGATTCAAACTCACTATTATTGATCTATTACATCATTGCATACATCAGATTTTTGAAAAAAGGCTCACACGCCTCTCTATTCTTTTCCTCCTGGGGTCTACATTTTCACATGCATTCTTTGAATTTTCATCAAAGGGTCCTCCTTTCTTCTATTATTGCCTTATCATCTTTGGCTTCATATGCAGCTGGCTAGATGCTTTTCTATTATTGCTTCTCCATCTTTGGCTTTATTTGCAACTGTCTAGATGCTTTGGTAGTGGTAGGTCCTTTTCCATTTATCAATCCTTCAATTTTGTCTACATGTGGGGCACTCCCTCAATCTGCATGATTCTTGGATTGTTGTTGGACTTCCACTAATTTGATGGGTATCAAATTTTAAGATATATTCCTTCAAAATTGTAGATTTTTCTTTTCCATTGTTTGTAAGGAGGGTCCATCCTTCATATTGGCACAAGCATCTGAATTTTTTATCATATAAGTTCTTTGCAATGTTATAAAGAACTTTCATCCCCAAAACTCTCCGGGATTTTATCCATGATCTATTGATTTTTGGCAATGGTTTATTATTTCGGCCAACTTCAATCTGAAAATCTCGGCCAACATATCCAATTGTAATGATATGTTCAGCAGGATAATATATCCTTCCATCAACTTCGGGACTTATTGAATAAAATTTGATATAAATCGATCTCCCTTGGGCAAATTTTGAAACTTCTGCCCTGAATATATCATCAAATTTTTCAATTTCTTTTAAATCTTTTCCTTCTGTTGTGTCTACTAATAGACTTGCTTAGAGTTTCATATTGTATGTTGTTAACAATATAAGTTCCCTGAAGGTATTTAATTTTAATGGCATAGTGCACCCACAAACACATGATACACACGTGAGCCGCATCCATATAGAATATTGTGTACCTTGCCAGCAACTTAGGCGTTTACTCATGTTCTGTTTCTTAAAGCCTCTATTTATAATTGTGTATGAGGCATGGCTTAATAGAACCAGCAAGAACTCATGTAAATCCAGGTTTAAATTTATTCTGTACTCGCATTGACATTTTTCTCGATTCATTAACTGTGCAGATTATATAAAGTCTATTATCAAACTGGGCTTCTTCTTTTTTTTACTGAACGCGTAAAAAAAGTTGTGCAGAAGGCTTGGGAGGTTGAAATTCTCGATTGTTTGCTATTTTAGAACACATGCTGTATGCATTAAGATTCTAGAAATGGCAAGGGGAATGTGAAATGAATGTTGCATGAGAATGATGTGGGCTGAAGGCCATTTTGTATTCTCTTGCTTACAAATTTAGTCTCCACCAGAAAATGTTTGTTATACATCATCATTTGCTTAATCTTTAACAAATTGATAAGGTGTCAAAAAAATGTGGAGTTTTTTATTTTTTATTTGGTTGATGAGATCCTAACCAATTAAATCTCGTTGCATCAAGTGTTGGTAAACAAATATGTAAGTTATGATGTAAATATAGCAAAGTCGTAAACTCATCAAGAGTCTTAAGAGTAATGGAGTTCCCATTTTATTTTTTATTATTATTATTATTATTATTATTATTATTATTATTATTATTATTATTATTATTATTATTATTATTATTTCAGCTGTGCCCTTCGTGTTTATTCTATTTTGTGATCTTAGTTTCATCACTCGATTTTCTCAGTTGTATTTTAATCTTGTTGTATGGTTTATTAACGGGATCTGCTGATATTTGGATGGTTGAATTCATCCCTTGAGATTATGATGATTGCCACGTTGCCTAAAGATGGAGCATGCATTATCTTTATGTAGGAACATATTGTCACTGATTGATGTTATTTTTCATCTCGAGGTATGAATGAAAAACCCGTACACACCTTCCAATGTGTTGATTAGGGTGAATTTAAGTGTAGTTTCTTAGTTTCTTCTAGTCCCTTGACGAGGGGGAAAAAAACATGGGAAAAAATCATATCTCAGGCCTTAATTATACCTCAAATCAAATTTAAGTGAAAAGGTTTACAATTCTAAAATTCGAATTAGATTTGAGTGGCAACTACCATACCCTCTTACACTCGCTTGAGATTAATGAGTATAGCATTTGAAGGGTAGCAACTTGTTTGGATTTTTAATTTAGGAAAGCATCGACAAGAATTGGAGGATTATCTAATTGAAATTTAATTTAAATTACATGTGAATTGTTACTAATGATATTGATCTATTGCATGTGCCCAAATCTTTTGGATTCGTGACTTGTATACATTGATCTGTTACATATTATATTGTTTCAAGAGCTTGTAATCAATTCTTTTGGATCCATGATCTATAGACATTGATTTGTTACCTATGAATGGTATAGTTCCAAGCTAATGCTAGATAAAAAGGTATTTTGGTAATAGTTTTTCGAGCGATGGCTCAGAACTGTGACTTGTGAACTATACATGTGACCAATCAATATTGACCTGTGAATTATGACCTATGACTTATGAATGTTTATGACTAATATAATATGACGTGATCGGTGAACTATAACTTTGAACAATTAATATTGACTTGTGAACGATAACATGTGACTAGTGAACATATGTGACTTATACAATATGACCTGTGAACTATAATCTATTATTTGTAAACATCCATGACCAATATAATATAATTTGTGATATACGAAGTATAACTTGTGACTTGTGCATTATGATTTGTAACCAATTAATATTGACTCGTGAACTATAATCTATGATTGGTGAACATCCGTAACTTATACAATATGACCTGTGACCTATTAATGGTGACATGAGACCTGTAAACTATGATCTATGATCAATTAATATTGACCTGTGAACATAAATTAGTGATATGTGGATATTGAATTGTGACTTATAACACGTGCACAGAAACGTGTGACGTTATCAGTTCACAAGTCATTGCATCAATATTACAAATTATCCATTTTATTGGTTACATATTATTTATGGGTTGATAAATTAATCTAATTTATTGGTCAGACATCATGTTTATACAAAACCAACCTAACCCAAAGTAACACCACAACCACCACCTGTACCACCAGAATCACCATTTGCATCACTACCGTAACCACCAACACTTGTCGAGGGCAAGCCTGTAGCAGTTATGCCTTCCTCTAGCAATTCAGGTTGCAGGCTCAAATCGCTATCACCATCATCCAAAATCACCACCTCTTCCTCCACAGTCGAACCACCACTACCATCATTTAAAATAGTTGTCGCCCATACAAAATCACCCTATACAAATTCAAGATCACTTTTTCCACCAAAATCTCCACCTTTTGTCACCACCCAGATCACCACCACCACCACAATCACCACCTAAACTAGCAATTCATTTTTTACCTGAGACATGACAAGAGAACCACTAGATAAAACAACAGTGAAAGAATCTCTCAATTTAGCGAACTTATTAGCCAAATCAATAATGTATTTAGCAAGCGACATCACTAGATCCTCCTCGAAATCAAACACTTGTACCTCGGTGTGCTATTGGGAGTTACAATCTCCATTGATGCTTTTGTCATGCATTTAAATTTCCTCAAGTTGGGGGTTCGGTTTCAGCAAATTAAAGAACTTAGGGCACTAGAACATAAAGAGGGGAGAGTTGAGTGGATAGAGAAAGATCAAGAAAGAAGATAGGGTTGAAAATGAAATTGGGTTTGGAGCCTATTTAATATTTAATTATCATATTAATACTTGATATGTGAACAAATAAACTTCATAGTTGCTTTATGAATCGTAATCTTTAAACACATATTGACATGTAATTTCCACCAAAAATATTTTATTGCACCTTTTGCTGGATATAAGATCAAGCCCCCTCCTAAGCTTGTATTTCATTTCAATAAACAAAAACATGTACAAAAGAGAGAACCAACCACAACAGACCCATCCATACCAACAAAAATAAGTAACAGACAGACCAAATGAGAATTTGGTCTAAGAATAACAATTGATCCATCACGGCCAATATACACTATACAAAGAACAGAAATAGGGTGATGTCAAAAGAATTATAATTAGTAAAATACATGATGCAAACTAAAGGTTTGTAAAATGATCATCCTTCTGCCTGCATAATTTTGTGCCTTCATGTGATAATCAGAAGGTTATTTTCATAGCCATTATTGTGGACAATGGGGCGTAGAGGATCAACTTTCCATATGCCATCAACAATAAACTTGATCTGTTAAATATTATAGGAGGCATTTAAGCATACATAATTCAATGGACAACGCATAAAAAATTGTTGATGCCCGGAAATCAACTTACCTCATATTTACCCGGATACAGCTTTAGGTACACAGAGAAGATGCCTGTCTTTGATTTCTCCATCTTTCTCTGCAATTCAAATGAGCATATCAGATTATCAAGCCATTGGTAAAAAAGAAAACACTGGTTAGAAAATCGGTGCCAAAATTTTAAGCGGTGAGCTTTAGCTGAAATAAATGTCTCAATAATCAAAACAGAGTAAAGTGCATTTTTGGTCACAAGACTTTGACCAGTCAGAGTGCCCGTCGTACTCTATTTTGTACAGTTTTTCTTTAACTTAGCCCATATTTAGCTATTGTTTATTAACTACTTATAATTAGTCAAACTATTTTCATTCACATATTTCGTGAGACCCACAAGTACTACTCACTTGTTCATTTCTATCTATTTATTATACAAACTATTTATAAACAACTCTTAAACATTCTTACAAAAAGATTTAGTTTATCTGTAACAACTAATGTCCATACAACAAAATCAAAGAACAAGCTACGCCTTATTCCCATTTAAAAAAGGACTTACTGTATGTATTTTTATTCACATATTTCGTGAGACCCACAAGTACTACTCACTTATTCATTTCTATCTATTTATTATATAAACCATTTATAAACAACTCCTAAACATTCTTACAAAAAGGTTTAGTTTATCTGTAACAACTAATGTCAATACAACAAAATCAAAGAACAAACTACGCCTTATTCCCATTTAAAAAAGGAATTACTGCATGAATCATTTTCTGTACTATTTTAAATCTAACACTGCATCTAATGAAATGGAACCAAGCCTTTCAAAATACATCCACAGTAGCTAGCAAAGATATAGCAAGTGACCTGTTGCAAGCACCAGGATTAGTTTTGAATTTCTACAGATACGTATGTATAGCAGCAGCTAGTTCAGGACTCCATTTGTTTGCCTCACAGATAATTACATTACCCTCAAGCTAGTCATAGTGATCCTCCTGTTCAACTACTTCGACCATTTTCGAGCACGTCACAGTATTTTCGGGGAGTTGCTAAGAGTAAAATTGGGGAAAAAGAACCAATTGTATGGGAAATACTTCGGGAAGTTATGCAGGGGCATCCTGTATTGCTGAATTGAGCCCCCACTCTGGCTCGAAGAATAAAGCTTGGACAACCTAAAGACAGCTCAACTAGGCCTTGCTCATTTACACCCATATTTTGCCAACATGTTTGCATGCTGAAATATATTATTCCACTCAAAAGTGCTACAAAGGATAGCAATTTCAATCACTTTTCCATCTAATGCAATATGAAACAAGGAATTCAAGCAAAAATTTTAAGAACACGAATTTGGAATCCACGAAATTATAAAAAGAATAAAATTACAAATTTTGTTTATTGAAAGATGATAAACAAATAAAATAAATCAGCGGTTTACATGAAAACATAGTTTAAACAAACTAAAATTAAAAAGAATTCAAAATAAACTAAATGGCAAAAATAGCAATAAAACTTTAAAAATAGTTTTCGAGTCCTAAATTAACTCGAATTGCCAAAATCCGTAGTACGTCACGATGAAGCGTGAATCTTACTCGTCTTGTCGTTCTCTGCACTAACTTTTTTTTTTTCCCATTTCGATCCAATTATTCTTCAATCCATTCAACAATCTATTCTACATCAGTCTCTTCCACCTCCAAAGCACTTGGCCCCGAGTTATAATCTAGATAAAGAGGTTCATCATCTTTATGAAACTCGTATAGATCCACCACATTGAATATACTAGAGATGCCCATAGAAGCTAACAAATCAATAATGTATGCATTGTTGTTAATTCGCTTAAGTACTTTGAAAGGCCCATACTTTATCGGTTTCAGCTTGTTTTAAGTACCACTGAGAAATCTCTCCTTTCTCTGAAACACTATTATTGAATCTCCTTTCTGAAACTGTTTGTCCCGTTAATGTGCATTTGCTGTTGTCTTACACTTTGCATTAGTCTTCTCCAACCTCTATTTTACTTCATGATAGACTGCTAATACCTCTTCTACTAGACGTTCAGCAGCAACACTCTTACTATTACCTTAGGCAACTTCACTAAATCTACCACATGATAAGGAACCTTAGTATACACAATAGCAAATGGGAACCTACCTATAGCATCATAACTGCGCTTTTGTATGCAAACTCCATCCATTGTTTGGGCTTATCGTCACAAACACTTCGAATCATATTTCCAAAGGTACCATTAGTGACCTATATCTGTCAATCGGTTTAGGGATAGACAGTGCTGCTTCAATTCAAATTTGTTCTAAATAACTTCCACATGGTAATCCATAAGTGCCCCAAAACCTTTGTATCCCGATCTGATGTGATAGACTTGAGAACTCCATGCAATCTAACCTCCCTGAAAAATAATTTGGCAATCCTAGAACGAAATCCATGACAAGATCTTGCCATATGCCGTGAGGGATAGGAAGTGGCATGTACAATCTGGTATACAGCACTTGATACTTTGACACCTGTCATGTATAACTATTTTTCCTATAACTCCAACATCTAACTTCAACTGTAACCAATAATACCTAGCTTCCAAACTGACAATTGTCTTTATACCCCAAGTGTCCACTTAGACCTCCACCGTTCAGATCTCAAATCAACTTTTCATGTAGAGATGAAACGAGAATGCATAGTTGGTCGCCCTTGAACAAATATCTATCACTAATATAAAAATTCACCACTAATTCACGATTCACACACTTGCTCCAAATTTCCTTTAATTTAGGATTATTTGCATACAGTTCTTTCAAGCACTCAAACCTAATAATTTCCTGCGATGATGTGAACAATAAAGAGGCCCTCCGTCTAAGGGCAACTGCAACTCTATTCGTACTTTCAGATTTATGTTCAATTACAAACGGAAATTTCTGGAGGTAAGTACTAAGCATGCATTCTGCTGATATGTTTCTAACTATGAATAAATCCAAGGCTTGGTGATTGGTAAACAACTCAAACTCATTCTATACGAGGTAGTGTTCCCATTGCTTCAAAGCTCTCACAGCTGCATAGAATTCTTGCTCATAAATACTCTCCTTCTACCTAGCATCACTCAACTTTTTTGAAAATAAAGACACGGGGCTCTTCTCCTGGAAAAGGACAGCCCCCACTCCACCTCAAAGATCTTCTCGAAGCTTAGACTTGCTGATAGGACTTGCCTCAATTGACTCAAGTGATCTTTAAACTTGTTGTAAATGAGTATTTCATCGAAATAAACCACAACAAAAGACCCAATAAAAGGACAAAGAACCTGGTTCATAACCCTTGTGGAGGTACTCGGAGCAGTTGAGTCCGAAAGGCATCACTAACCATTTATAAAGTCCATCCTTACTCTTATAGACAATCTTCCATTCGTTCTCAGGTTTGATACGAATATAATTGTAGCGACTGCAAAGGTCTATTTTTTAAAAGACCATAGAACCCCCAAGCATATCTAACATGTCCGCCAGCTGTAGAATAGGAAACCCGTCAACACACATAAGTCACATTTCATCCTTTTTTGGTACTATGAAGATAGGTACTGCACACAAATTCATACTCTCCCTTGTGAATCCTTTCTTCAACAGTTCCTCAATTTGAAAGGTTAGCCCTAGGTACCAAATCAATCTAGTGCTAAATATTCATCATAGGAGGTAACTCATTCGGCGAAATTCATCAATGACCAAATCTTCAAATTCTGTCAATGTTTCTTGCACCTCAAACGAAACTCTCATTTTCCTTATTTGTTGTAAAGAACCCCTTAACTAAAACTAGATAAAAACAATCACATTCTCTTACAGACTCTACAATCTCCTTCTCATTACTTGTAAGGGAAAACTCTCGATTCATTGTTGAGTACACCTCTCCACATGTTTGAGATGAACCGTAGAGATCTTATGACTGCCTAATGAAAAGAGTACCACATTACCACGCCCTTTGATAGTTGAATCTATATCAAACTGCCATGGGCAACCAAATAGGATATGACAAGCATCCATGTCTATGACATCACATAAAATTTCATCCTTATAATACTTACCAATGGAAACAGCTACTTTACAAGCTTCAACCACCTGAATGAAATGACCTCTCTTTGGTCCTCGAAGAGAATAAAGTTTAAAATGGTCCTCAGTTTGTAATTTCAACAAATTCACCAATTTCCTCGTCACAAAATTCTAGGTGTCTTCCTCATCCATTGTCTTTGGTTCTACCAAATTGCCTTGCTTATTTCAGGAAAGGTATTGGAACAATGCCCAAGCTTGTGGCATCTATAACAAATATCTCCTATAAGCTTAGCATACAAATTTGCATTCTAAGGTGCGCCTTGAATTTGACCTCTGTTCCTAAGCCGACCACTGTTGTCAATGTTACTCTCGTTAGGATTGGCTGGGGTTTGTTGCAGGGCCTTTCTTCTGTCCGAAGGAATGGATGATAATGATTCGACAGGTGAGGGTCTCCTATACAAAATCGCTCTCTTATCATATTCCATCATCTCAGCCTTCATCGCCATGTTAATGGCTTCCTACAATGTCCAAATAATTTACAACCGAATTCTATCTTGAATAGCCACCTTCAAACGACGAGTATACTTGACTACCCTTTGATTTTCAAATTTTTAGAGATTGTTTCGATCTAAGTATTAAGATTATCGATCCGTTGATTTTGATCATCCAAATCTACCTTAGTAATTGGTACATCACCCATGGTTGTGAATCAAAGATATAGAGACAAAAAAGCTGGCTTCGATATCGCTTGACGCAGCTCAAAATAAGGAATTTAAGCGAAAACTTTATAAACACGAATTTGGGATCCACCAAATTATGAAAAGAATAAACTTATAAATTTTATTAATTAAAAGATGATAAAAAACAATTAATTAACTTTTTATTTATAAAGGATTACATGAAAACCTAATTTAAACAAACTAAAATAGAAAAGCATTTAAAATAAACTAAATTACAAAAATAGTGCTAAAATTTTAAAAGCAGTTTTCGAGTTCTAAACAAAGTCAGATGGCCCAAATCCATCGTACGTCACAACAAAGTGTAAGTTCTACTCATTTCGTCGTTCTCTTTTCGTAATGGTATTATGGACCTAAATCGGAATCTTTGCACCATTACATTTTTCCCATTTCAATCCAATTCTTCTTTAATCCATTCAACAACCTGTTCTACATTACCATCATTTCATGAATTTATCCTCAATCGCTTATCCTATCTTATTGATTCTAATATGGTGACACATCTATCTTGATATCCTTATTTCCACTACATTCATCTTACGCACAATGTCATTTAATGGCTCAACAATCAGTATTGTAAAACATAGCTTGTCCCTTTTGGCCGTGTAAGAATTTTCTTATCACGTACTCAATATGCTCTAATCTTATGCATTACAACTCCTGAAGACCTCTTCATTGTTGATAATCAAAGATAAACA